GTGGAGCTGTAGTCAATGAAGAGTATCCTGATGTAGGAGTCTCCATTTTCCAGGTGAGAAAGGGAATAGTGGAGGGCTGCCGCGGTGGCATCTGAGGTGGCCCTGTTGGGCCGGTAGGCATACTGCAGGGGGTCCAGAAAACAATGGATAATGAAAATGTAAAAAAAAGTAATTCTTTATTTCCTAATAAAGTATACTATATCATACATTGCAAAAAATTAAGGATTCATTATTGAGTACATCACATTTCATTTTGTCGCTGGTAGAGGCAAATCTAATTCTAAGCACCTTATATGCTTATACTGTTGAATAGCTTGTGAATTTTTCACCAGGGATCAATAAATTTTTATTATTATAATACTGTGGTTGTACTGGACTACATTATATTCAGAGGTTGTTCCTAATTTTCTGACCCTCTCATGTTTGGAGCTGGGAAGCACAAAAATATCGGAACACCTCTGAATATAATGTAGTCCAATACAGCACTACCTTTAACTGTGACCCCAACAATAAACATATCATTAAATTTAAACATTTATGACAATTTCACCAAAAACTGAAACATTTTAAGCTACATAAACACAAGTGTTGAGGTGCAAGTGTTGCACTGAATTGCATGCAATTGTACAGGTGTACCTAATAATACATATATATACATATATATATATATATATATATATACACACACACACAAAATGTCTCAACACCGAAACACTGACAAGAATAGTACTGGTGAGGTAAATGCCATTAAATCATCAGAAAGGTTTGTGGCTGCAAACAGGTTTTTTTTTTTTTTTTTCCTTTTTACTTTGAGTCCATAATCTCATTAAATAACTTAAAAACTACAAAAAGAAAAGTACCTGCAAATTACCCACTTTCATCTGAGTTCTTTCATCTTTTTCCCTTTTGCAAACATATGTGGGGAGCTTGTTTCTCCAATTGCTGTTTGATCAGAACATAAAGACCAGCACCAAAGGATCTTTTTATGTATTATTGTGATAAATTGATTTAAAAACATCAATCAATTTGGCTTTTAGAAAATCCTTTTTCTTTATCAGTTTTGAGATGATGCCAGTTTGATCTGAGAGGAAGAAAAAGACAAACACAAGCCAAAATGGAAACTAGGAATGTAAAGAAATTGCTGAATAATGTGCTATTATACAGACGGTGTCTTCTTGTTTACACAGACATGAGCATACAAAGTACACACAAACTGTCTTTCTCAAACCATAAAAATTAATATGTGTGCACCAATTCAAATAACCATTTTGAATCTGAAGAGGAAGATGAACTACCTCAGACACAGCTAATGCCGTTATTATTAACCACGCATTGGAGACTAATGTCAGGCGTGACCCTTCAGTGTCTTAGTAGTTATTTACTGTGCTTTGCTTGTGTGATTATGTTAAGATAAAGAGAGATTAGTTAATCTGACATTTATTTGGAGTTAATACAAGAAAACACCATCTTCGCCATCTTGCCCTCACCAGGACATTGCCAAAGGACGCCAACATTACCTGGCATTGGTTGCCACATTACAGTGACTGTTTGGGGACAGGAATACCTTTGATTAGAGACGTTACATTCTGTCCTCACCACTCAGAACGTCTTCAGTTTGGAAGTACTACACTGACCCACACTTTCATGAAACATAGTGTTTAGCACACTCAAAGAACAAGGATATACTGTAAATACTATGGCTGACACAGCTGCCTCCATCCTCAAGAACCCCACCCACCCCCAGCATGGACTGTTCATACCCCTACCCTCCAGTCAGAGGCTCAGAGGTGTGAAATGCAGGACTTTTAGCCTGAAAAACTCTTTCTTTCCCTCTGCCATCAGACTCCTAAACAGCTGACTCAGGATCTACCTCATGTAATTCCATCTGTACCATTTACATACTCATTTGGCACATGCATAATTATAATGTGCATAATTGTACACTCTGCATTATATTGTGTTCCTGTTGTATTTTTATTTGCTTCCTTCACCTGCTGCTTTAAAGTGCCTTAGATTTGTGTTTCTGCCTATTTAGATTTGTTATTGCTCATATACTTTATATTTCACTTGTTTTATGTGGCATTCATGTGGACGGCAAAGTAAGAATTTCATTGTACAGGGAAACATGTTTCCTAACTGTGCATATGACAAATAAACACTTTGACCTTGACCTTGACAGGAACTCTAGGTATCCATTGTCATCTCATCTACTATCACATCTGTTGTAGGAAGAGAGAAAACATTTCAAATTCAGATGAAGAGATGACAAAAAGGAGTGCTAATATAAAGAACATGATGGACAAGTAATCCCAGCACCCTTTGTGAAAGAGTTCTAATGGACATTAAGTCCTTACCAACAGCTCAGCTCCCAGACGTTGTCACTATATGAGACAACACAGCTGTCCATAGCACAGCTCCCACAGGTCATCGCTGTAGAGGGACAGTGTTATACTCTCCTCACAACAGCACCTTTAGAAGCTGTGTCAGTCTGCAAGGAGACCCATGCTGAACCTGTGCGGGATGTCTAACTTCAGACAGAACAAAACAATGCAGCTGTCACTGAGCAGCTCCTTAGACAGATGGAAAAAAGCAAAAATAGACTGCTCTTAAATCCTAAGGACCTCCCTGAACATCTACTTGAAAAGGCATGGGCTGAAGTCAGGGGCATTGGTCTTCCTTTAACCGGAGGATCTCACAAAAGTCAGAATGGGCCTCTCCACACATGCTGCTGGTTGGTATGTACACAAAGGACCCTGACCTTGAGAAATGCATTGTGTCTTCTATCAGAGGTTACATGAACCCACCAAAGACTATTAGCATCTCCACGTTCTTCTCCTCTGTGCGTAAAGGATGACTGAGATTAGAATCAAATAGCTTCCAGTATAATGGCATTAGACTCAGAACACACTGAAACACCTGCTGTGGCTGTTCAACCTCAAAATAAAGTTTTTTATTCACATAATTTTGTGTGCATTTAGCTTCTGTTTGCTTCTCGGCTCCACTGATGTTCAGCATTGGCAAAATACAGTAACAGTAAAACAACAAAGTGGTTGGGAGTGCAGCATCACAGGACAAACACTTGACAACTGGCAAGAATAAAATATTAATAAAAAACAAAAATAATGTCCTTCTTAAATATTTAAACACTTTTTTTTTCAGATTAAACATAGTGAACAGACATTATGTACACAATTCTAGAGGTTTAAGGTCTTTTAAAATTTTGAAATCTATCATGGCACATATAATCTTGTTCGGGGCATTGGTTGATGTGTGCATATGTGTGTTTGTGTGGAAGTGTGTGTGACTTTGTTTTAGGGAACCACATCTGTGCTCAGCTGGACAAAGTGTGCCCCTTCATAGCTGTGACCAACATCCCTTTGCTGTAGGTGAGCTTAGGGAGGACTCTGCTTCACCTTGATCACCGTCACACCACCATAATAATTGTTCACCTCTATATCATGTCAGTCATAACAGACATCATCATCATCTTGAAGAGAAAACATCGCAGCCCTTGCTGTTGTCACTGTCACAGTTATTTCTGCTTCCACACCAGCACAAGCTTCCCTCCCTCCCTCAGCACGTACTCACACAATTTAGCAGCTTTAGGAAGTGACACATGTCAAAAGCAGCTCTTGCCTCGCGCCATGAGTTCTAGACATCACAGTTTTTAAAACACAACAGTAATAGCAATGTAAAGTAACATGAAGTGTCAGCCTTGTAGCAAATCCATCTGTGTCTGTGACAGCGCTCTTTATTTTGAGACCCACATTATTGTCCTGGGCTGAACAAACCAGCATTAACCTCTGGGATTTATTCACTGAGATATGGTAGGCAAAGCGAGTTTATTATTCATTCTTACTCTACGTAGCTGCTGCTTTTCCTTGGCTGTTCCCACAGCTACACCCTTTGTCCTCATGCGTATGCCTCTCCTGATCTTAGCGCCACCAGTTCAGAGTCTTCCGTGTGGCGCCCGTTCAAGTGTTCGCTGTTACAGTCGTGGTGGTACATGAAGACGGGTACCTCGGAGATGGAGGTAGCTGTGTAGGATGTGGAGCGCATTGAACAGTGGTCCTTTCGTCTCTGACCCCACTGGGTCTTATATTGCATCCACTGTCTCTTTAGGGCTGCCTGCACCTGAATGTCACACACATAAAAGAGTGGGTTCATTATAAGGGTTGTAACTTTTAAAATAGTTCTACAGTATGAAGGTAGTGCCTGGTTATCAAAGGTGCACATCGAAGCATTTCCCCCAAACCACTTTTCTGATTAGTTTTTTTGTTCTATTTTGAATTTCCAGTACAACGTGAGTTAACACAGGGCCCATGCAATCCCCATCTTGTGACAGAATTAATCCAACTGAACTGCTGTGATCATAATTGTTGCAGCATATGTGGATTAGTCTTCACACTAACAAATGCCAGTTAGGAAAGGTAAACACTAAAGTCACATTTCTTGAAATGTGGCCAAGTTATGCATATGGCCAGATTGTCACATTGTAATGATGTTATTAATGTTGAGCAATATATTAAAGCTGTCATGTTCTCAATACTCTTCTAAGATTGTTCTACCCTTAGTAGCTTAGTAAACGTCAGAATAACAACAAGAAACTCAAATATTTCACTCTCCTGAAGCCTACACACCAGGGAGAACTCAGTGCTCCATGTTACACCTTGGTACTGGTAAACAAATGGGAAAACCTCCTAGTGGCTACCTGCTGTGTACTCAGGAAGCACATGTTAAAAGAATCCCAACACACAAAAACTTAAATAATTTATTACGCTGTCAAATACAAATGGTCTGTTATTTGTTTAGTTTGTAAAATGTTATAAAATGGTGGAAAATGCCCATCATAATTTCCATGAGTACAAGATCGTACTGCTTTTTTGTCCAACCAACAGTTCAAACTGCAAATATGTTAAATTCAAAGTGATATACAGTAAAATGCAGCAAAACTTTATTTTTCGTTCCTTGATTGATAACTCCTTTCCTTTTGAACAACTGGTCATTTCAGAACTAAGTACTGTCTGACTGACTTAACAAGAGTGTGAACCAAGTTCCTAAAAACAACTATAATGCTGCTGTAGTTCCATGTTAATCTTACACTTTAATGCTCTGTAATTACTGTGGGAACATTAACAGACAGTGATCTGATGATACAAATTATGACACTAATTACTATAATGAGACAAAAGAGCAGCCTGGGGCTTACAGCTTCCATGTAGAACATCTAAATCCAGCATGGAAGCTGTCTGTCTCACTGACCTAACTTCACAAGGGGGCCACTGGAGAAACAAGCCAGGTCTGTGCCCTGAAATCAAAAACCATCGCTGGAGTCAACCCCAGAAACCCATGTCCTGATTAGGAGACCTGAACTGCTCATTACATGTTGGTGAAGCAAACAAATTGTTTCATTCCCTCGTGGTCATTTGTCTGTTAGTTGATCATCTATCAGCTAAAAAAGTGGACTCGCCCTATAAACAAATGCTCTACGCAGTGTCTTTGTTCTCTGCAAATTCTTTACAATAAAGTCGGGAAGTATTTAGATCTGCTCTCTCTTTCTTCACATGCAAAGAAAAACCTCAGAACAATAACACCCTTGTCTCTACAGATAATAACATTTAATTATACATTTTAAACTTATTTCAAATCCACAAATATTACAAAAGCATTTTCGCTTTACACACACAAATACAATTGTTTGTGATTACCTGTTCATTCTGTGTTATTCACACTGCTAGTCTAACAGCAAGCTAATAAAAGCCCTCATTCACCCTAACAGCTGGTGCTTTCCTACCAAACTTAAAAGCAACATTGGAGCCAAAAGGTCTCCACAATACCCTTAGTTCATTCATTAAGAGAAGTGTTTGAATCAAGCTAAGGATCCTCGCAGACAGACAGCTGCACGCTGGCTTGGAGCGGTCCAGCTGGGTTTGGAAACCACTCGGCCATTAATAAACTTGTTTTACTCTTCACCCGACTTGACCCCTCAGCTTTTACTGCTGCAGGACTGGATTGGTCTCCGAGGAGCCAGGCCACAAATTATTTTATAATCAGTTTCAACTGGACTACTGACACAACTATTGCAACTATTTTCTAGCATTTAATGCCAGAAAACAAGTCTGATTCTGTGTTTGACATTCGTGGGTCATTTCTCAATACGCTATCAGGTACAGGTGTAAGATGTCAGAAAAATGTTTACTCTGATGTGTTGCAGTTAAGGTCTGAGCAGTGAGTGGTTTTATTAATCAGTGAGTGAAAATCTAACAGAATAATGCATGGGTTAACTTTTATAAAAGGGCAATTGCTCCCTAAAATATTATAAAAAATTCATACAATAATGAGACCTTTCCAGGATATTATGTTCAGGGATGTGTTAGATATTAATAAATCAGTCAGATAATTATTAGACATTAATGTGTTGAATCAAAGTGTTTTTAATGCTTGTTAGTAAGTTTCAAAGTCTGCTCTAGTCTGCTCTCCTTCGAGGTTGACAGATAGAATGTTGATTCTGAAAGGTGAACCATGACACCAATTGTTTTCTTGTATTAAATCTTGTGTTATAATATTATGTCTGAATGAATGTCTTAGCTAAGCACCACGTGACAACATACACACACATTGAAATTCCTCATTCTGTTATGACTAGTTGCTCAAAGCATGTGGAGCTCTAGATAAGAGATGGAGTCATCAGACTGACTCCATCTCATGATGTTCTGTAATCTTTTTGTGTAAGGGGTTACCGAAAACTTATAAATGTATTAGGCTGTGTGTGGCCAGGGCTTCTCTCTCCAGCAGCCAGAGTGTGTGTGTGTTTCTGGAGCAAGGAGCCACCCGGGTCGTGTTTTTAATTTTGCTTGTGGTTTAAAATAAATCAGCACTAAATGAAGAAAGGCGGACTCCTTTGTTATTCAGAGCTGTCCAATTAAAGAACTGGGGTATAACAGATGGATCTAGAACATTTTGGATGGGGTGGCCAGGCTGGGGCACAGACTCAGAGAGGGGTGGAGCATTTGAAAAACATGTAAAAAGTAAATTAAACCCCTAGTTCAATGATAATAAACCATACATTGAGAATCAACTTGTCTATTTTGTGTATGAATGAGACACACATAGTGCTTTCTTTAGCTAAATTCTGTGCAGTACTTACCTCCCCATTGAAGAAGCAGAATATTGTTGCCACCAGTAAACCCTTTACAAAGCAAAACAGACATAGTTAACTTGTTTTTAGTTAGTTTATTTTATAAGATAATGTAGAGGATGAATGGATGGATGAAATGTATGGCTTCCTAGCAGTTAGGTTACACAGTTATACAAAGTGGTTTTTCAAAGGAAAAAGAGACAATCTCTTTCATTGACTGTCTGCCTATTGCTTAATTAAAAGCCTAACTGGTAGTTAAATAAAGTTAATGGGGTGCCCATCTGGTTCTTTAAAAGGTAAGTCAACAGTGATTCACATCAATCAATCAATCATGAGGCAGAAAACAAGGCTAAATGTGTAAATCTGAAGCCTGACGGGACCTGGGGGTACTGTCATATCAGAGTGCTTTTGTTTTTGCATCCATACTGAGTGTTTGGGTTTAAAATATAAATACTGCCATTAATTATACATTCCAAAGTACACTGAAACATTGATTATTGATTGGGTGTGGTCAGGAATGCACAATGCTTCAAAACCTACAGAGAAGTGGCAGAAACTGAATTTCCTTCTTGAACCAAGAACCATATTTGATTCTTTAATGGCTAACTTCTGCCCTAGCCGGCAGCTGGGTACCTACCTGGTAGTGCATGAGTATGTGCATGATGTACTCGTAGACCTCCCCAGCCAGCCGATTCTCTGGCCTCCAGGGAAAAATGACAAATTGTATTCCCAGCAGGGGCACCAGGATGAGGGTGGCTCTCACTGCTTTCATGTACATGTTGGACTCAGCCTGGTGTGTGTCTCTCAACTTGGTCACCAAAACTCTTATGATATTTAATAAGAAGAAGAGGTTCACCTGTAAAAAGTCAAACATTTTGATAAGAAATTAAATAATGTGCATTTTTTCTGCTTTTTAAAATACTAAAACTACCACCACAGTTACAAATTAATAATCATATTTTTCTCTTTGACATTCATTATCCATTATTCTGAAACAGTGGATTAGCAGACTTACAAGAAGGGCTGCCACTATGGGACCATGAACAGCATAGAGCAGATGGGTTTCCACACTCATCCAACAGCTACACAAGGAAAAACAGACCAGTCAGTACTGTCTGCTTCCCAGAATACACAGGTACACACACACATACTAAAGCACACCTGTGCACGGATCTGAACTCTCTTACACATTTCCAGCTGAGCACATACATATACATCTCCTGCTTATTTGCATAAATCTCTGGAACATTACTCACTTGTCATCAAAATACTTTTTCCTTGCCATGGCGTGGATGGATGCAGGCACTAGAGGAAAGCCTTGAACAGGAAAAAGAAGGCACCCAAATGAAGTATTGAGTGTCTTTAATGAAATTCATTTGTCGTTTATAAAGTACAGTAAATGTGTGATTAGCTTGGTTAGGTGTTTAATGAATAAATAATTACATTACAGTGCGACTATAGTGCTGGAAAGGCTTAAAGAAAGTGGCTCAGCTTTGACATCCTCCTTTCTACAGATTTTCATAGCTTAATTTTATTGTTCCAACCCTAACCACGCCACCACATGATTAATTTCCTGTACCAACGCTGTCTAATTTAAAATTCCCTTTATAAAGCACTAGAAACTGGGCTTTTTCCCATCTAGATATAAACATGAATCTATCTACAGTCCATTTTTAAACTCCAGTGAGGCCATGCAGCATATCGACCACAGATAGACCTGACAAAGAGCCGTCCTCCAGGCGCACGGCAAATGCATGCCTCAAGGTTATCCACCCATTTTTAATGATAACTATACATAATTGTTTGACAGATAGCACCAATTATTCCTGTTTTGAACAAGGTAAAAAAACAGGGTAGGAGTGGCACTAAGTGACAGAAGGGCCACTAAAGCTGTCAGCATGTCCAGGGTGACATATTGTACAAGAACCGGGTAGTTATGAGTAAGTTGCGGCTGTTATGGTCCCATCTTTCTGAATTGCTTTTCAGTGCATTTTCAAGTTGTCATTCAGTTCAGTGACTCCATAAAAAAAGAGTTCAAAGTGTATAGTAAAATACCATAAAAACAAAGGAAATAGTGTTTTGATAAACTGCTGATGGACTCACCCCAGCCAAGGAGGTAGTACCAGTGCAGATGCTGCTCCTCTGCAAATACAGCCACCACAATGAGCGTGTGAAGGTAGATGCCTTCACATAGCATCCAGAAATAATTGCAGCCCAGCATGTACATGTGGAAGAAGTGCAACACCTTACAACCGACCTGTAGAGAGAGCCCAAGCATCTGTTATTTTGTCTGCTTTTGAGTTCCTAAGTATAAAGATAGCTATTAAGACAATTTAGTTAAACACTTCTGACATCATCTCAGCAGGAGACAAAGAGGATCTAAGGGGTTGTTCATGGCACAAAATCAGTTGACACTGTTACCATTTCCAGACTATTTATTCATTTACCCCCTCTGGAGGTGAGCTCAGATGGAAATGCTGAGTTTTTTGATACACACTGAATGTGTGTATCTTACTTTGCTCAAAGAAGTGATAAATGTTCTAAAAGTATACATTAATGTCCCCTGCAATTTTCTCTTTGCGCATCCAGCAGAGTGCAATGCCATGACAACCTGTTTCATTGTATATTCTGGTCCTTTGAATAAATCATTAGTAAAATTTCTTGAAAGAAATTACCTTTATGCCATTTTATTATGTC